TCAGCCTGTGTATTGCTGATAATACCTCATCCATTATAGGCTCTGGTTCTTTTTCATAACTTTCATAAGTTGTTTTTGAATTACTTGTCAGACCCTCCTACATTTCTCTACAGTATTCTTTCCATCTTTCTAATATGTCTTTGGTTTCTGTTAATGTGTTACCGTTTTGTATCACTTATTACATGAAAAGAAGGTCTGACACAATATCACAATTACAAATGCATGTTTCTTGTTCAAAGTCAGTTTTTCTCTTTACGCTGAGCAGAGCGAGATCACAGAGTCTGTCTTCACCCATTGTAATTCTTAAATAATCAAGAATGAGTTTCATTTTACTGAAAGATCTTTCGCAGCTGGCAATGAAAACTACAATAATTAGCATTACTTGAATAGAAATTGCGAAGATTATGAAAGATGCTCATCATTATATTGAACAAGTAACTTTGAAAGCCCCTTAGGTCGTGTTAATTTATGTTGATACGAAATGACAACAGCACTGTGCAATCTAAAATCTCTTCTATAATCGTTGCCCCTTAATATCAAAGCTATAAAATTTACATACATTTTCGTAAATTTCGCTTTAGTTCCTTGTCCAAACAGCAACACATTCCATAAACAGCGAGGAGAAATGCAGACTTTGATTCTGTCATGAAAACGAATATATTTTTTATCCATTTCTCTAGGAAGACAGTCCAATGCTACCTTCGTGACCCTATCGACTTCCTGCTTCTCCATTAACGCAGCATCTATTAGGTTATCGCCAACCATTGATTTATTTTCCAGTTCAACATTCTATTCCTCACAGATCTTAAATCCTTTTTTATTTTTTATTTTATTGATTCGCTGACCCACACTTCTCGTTTCTCTTCAAATTGATTTGACAGAGCTTTCAGATACAGGACAGTATCGTGATAATTCAGGTTTGGAACCTGTAGCCCTTTTTGAACACCGTCATTGCAAGTGAGTATCTTGTCTCAACATCCTAGCAATGTCAGAAAATCGTAACTCAACATACGATTATACAACTGCGTTGCCTCGCTTTTTGTTTCACTTGCGCTATTTGTCTTATCTATCATGTCATGAATGATATGCAAAATATTTTCAAGGTACGTGTTGCCAAGGTGTACACTTGCACTCCACCTAGTTTCAGACTTCAGACTTTATAAACACGGAGAAGGCATTTTAAAGTTTTCCCTAACGCTTTTGTACGCCAGAAAAACACACAGAGGGCCTGAATTATTCCAAGCAAATTCAGCATCACTGGTTCCTAGTTAGCTGCATGTACACCTGTCAAGTTGATCGACTGATTATCACAACTTGTATACACAGCCGGCCTGTTTTTCGCACTTATTCTTTGTTGGACACCACTTCTGTGTCCAGCTATCACATCAGTTTTGTCATAGCATTGTGATCGACAGTCTTCTAGTGCCATTTCATCTTTCCTTAGCTAGTTCAAGTTGTCTGTGATAAAAATTCATCAAATCGAATGACTGCGTTCCATTTGCGCGAGCTAATTACCATACGCAAGAAAACCGGAAGGTAGGTAGGCAGGCGCTTTTCTGGAAACAAAAATTGTCATGTTCAACCAGCATCCGCGAAGTGGGAGCTTTAGATTATAATTATGACTATGTTATGTGCGCCATATAAAGTGGCCTAGCAATGCACACAGTCAAGAGCCCTGGAGAGGACTCTTGCAGTGTTGATGCGACCAAAGGAGACAGAGCCAAATACTGTCCCGACAGGCGACGAAGTCGTCCACTGGCGATTTAATGGGTGACCCGGTCGCTGATACAGACAATTAGAAAGAACGTTCGCTTTTTTATACTGATCAGTGGTAACTTTAAAACAAGAACGCATTGAACGCAATTTTGACTGTTAGGTAGTTGCCAGTTAATGCATTATGTTTTTTTTTTTTATGGGATCGAAAGAGTTAAGAGACATGAACTGGATACTGCCAGAGATATATGACTGTGCCTGACCAGACTAATGATCGTGGGGAGGGGGGGGGGGTGGTTATTTGTATAAGCTGGCGCCCTTCTAAGCTTCTCCAACCGAAGAAAATTCACTGTGGACCCTCCGGATAAGAAGCTGCCACTTGAAAAAAATCATGTTTTGAAGCCCTCTTTTAAGTGGCACCCCAGGCATCTTCCTTACCGGCCATACCCTAGTTACGCCACTGGCAACCTTAGTGCAACATGTATCTTGCTGCTCTGTGTTATTTCCAGCCTTTGCTAAATTAGTCTACTCTTTCATTTCCCTGTAATGTTGTTGAAGTCTGGGATCCACTGGAGCAAAGTCTGTTTGGTTGGCTGTCCTATTTGATTCAGCAGAGATCCTGGCTTGTTAAACTGTAGTTGGAGCTCTTTGTAGTTCTTGCAATACTGAGCGGGCGGCTGTCAGTATCACAAGGGTTTTTATTTGTCATAGAAAACGAGAAGAAAAGTCCTTTTGCTAACTAAAACGAGACTAAAAATAGGACAGATACTTACCACTAATGTCTGCTTTGTGGTGGTATTGGTGGTATTGGTGATGGTGGTAGTTGTAGTAGTAGTATTTTTTCAATAATATCCCGTTCAACCCTTAGGGTTATAATTAGGATATACAGTGTTAATTGAGTTTTCAGAGTATATATTTGTTATTTTAAATATATATATATCTTGTTTTGTTTTTTTTTAATGACTAAAATGTAAGTTGTATTGTTTCACATTTTGCTTTGATTGGGATGTGATTTTGATGGAAATTGTATACTGAATAATTAGACAATCTTACTAACATTTCAAATAAGGATGCCGGTACTGCTTGCCGTTGTATGCGCCAGAAAAAGAAAAACAGCCCTGAGTGTAACTCAAAGCTGCATTCACAGGCTGCAATGGATACTGCTTCCTTCTGACTCATATGGGTCAAACTCTCTTATGTGCGTGTCATAATAAATATGGTTTAGCATCATTTCCTATCTTTTTCCATGGGGGCTCTGTGGCCCCCTTGGGGGGAAAGGGAGGGGAGTGTCACGTATCTCGTCTTTTCACGTGGGTTCCAGGGCCCAGATTAGGGGAGGGGGTGGTAAGCTGAAGACCCTCTGCCTTCCGAACAAGGGGTTCGCTGAAACTAATGCGCTGACCCAAAATAGCAGAAAGCGCTGCCTAGCTGTAAACCACAAGTCGTCGTGCCAATCGTCCTTTTATAAACAACCGCAAAAGAAGGAGGAGGAGGAAAATAAGAAGAAATTTATCATGTTATGCTGTAATTTGTTACATGTTTGCTGATGAAAGCGTGTCGACGCAACACCCTAAGGTTATTTTGTGTTCCGTAAAGCTGTCATACTTTGTTGTCCCCACTTTCATAGCTTTACTGTCGTCAGCTCATTTCCATGCATGCTAATGACACCATCACCAATGCCTTGGATTTTGTAAAATCAATCTTCAGGGAAAACCAGCCAGCCGTGACAGAATCGGTGTGAACAGCATGCACACTGTGTGTACACCTGTCCCCACCTGAGACCTGCCAGGTCAACCATGAATCATCAACCGGAAGTACCCATAACCAGGAACAAACAGACGTTAACTCAATGGAGTCAAGTTGACCAACACATGTAGAATCACTGAAAACACAACAAACAAATACTGAAAATAAGGAAGGTCCATAGAAATCAGGTATTTTTCACACCTGTGAGTGCCCACTTCATCTTTTTGAATCACTGTATATGTTGTAATAAGAACAAACTAGTCTCGTAGACTAGAGGTTAAACTTAGTGTTAGTCAATCTCGTTCACTTTCAGTCATTTGAGTCTGTGTTCGTTTTCCTTGGCGGCACAATACATTCAATAATGAAACAAAAAATGTCAAAAACGAAATATTGTCTTATTATGTCATCGCTCGTGGTTCCTATCTATATAAGTTTTTAAATTATTCAATATTTGTGTAACGTTGTATGGATCTGAATCAACTAAAAAAATTATTACATATAAAGTATAAACTATTTGCTTCGGCAAGATTAGAATTACTAAAATTAGACCAAAATTTTCAGGTATATGTATGTCATTTAATTAGTAATAATTAGTAACCGCTTGCAGACGTAGGTAGAGCTTTAGTCTGAGGTCCTAAAAGTTGGGCTAGTGTACTAGTTACTACTAGTAACTAGAAGTATTTAGCAAAATCACCTTTTGTACCTTATCCATAGGCAAAGAAAAGTGGCTCTCCTGTCAACTACGGCCGGTAGACAACAGTCGACGGCCGGTTAGTCGGAGTTCTGTCCCCTGGCTACAGTGCAATTACGGACTGGAGACGGCACGAATCAAAAAACACAGTAAGGTCGACATGCCTGGCAGACCCGCGCTGCGACTCAAATTAGCGACCGCGTTCAATTACCGCTTCTTGCGACGTATTACGCAGTGGACTGGAGGGAACAAAAGTAACATAATTACTGTGTGTCGACGATAGACAGCGTGCAGTGCCTTAGGGGTAGGGATTGGGTTAGGGTGTGGGTTGCTACGGTGAGTTTGTGCGAAGACGAGATGCGGCGACACTAACTGTAACCAACCCACACCCTAACCTTAACCCAAACCGTAACCGTATGATTATAGCAGGGCAGTACACGCTGTCTATCGCCAACACACAGTAATGATGTAATTTGTTTCGTTCCCTCCTTTCCACTCCGTAAAAGCACTGCAGCCAGGGGACAGAACTCTGACTAACCGGCCGTCGACTGTTGTCTACCGGCCGTTGTTGACAGGAGAGCCAGAAAATTCACTGGCATTAGAACAGACACGCCCTGAAAGAGAACTGTAACGAGAATGTTCTTGAACCACATAATCAAAAAAGCTATAAAGGTAGAGTATACAATATACATACAGTTAGTAGTTACACAGTTCTTTGTCGGCTTGCTGAGGCAAAGCAGACTAGCTGTTTGTCACTGACTCCCTCTCAGACACCCATCTTAGTTTATGAATATTCTTTGAAGCTGTTCCAGAGACACTTCAGTACTTTTTAATCTCGTTCTCAGGCATCATGTCAGCCAATCCGTACTTCCCGGTGACAACAGACCAAACAAATCTTACAGATGAAGACTGGGGACTGCCAATTAGGACAGAACGCAAATTTTCCAGAACCTCCAGGTAAAATACAGTCACAAGTCTGATAGTTTTTGTTTTGACTTTTTGCTCATTAAAAGCCACATCACCCACTTAAGGCTGATTAGTCTGTAAAAATATGTCTACCTCATATGCCCAATGAGCCACTGGTTCATAAAGGGACCTTTATTTTTTACCTTAAACAACCACATAATTGCTCAGTCAGTTGTCCATTTTTTGTGTGTGTACTTACAGCACTTAGTGAATTGCCAGTCATATCATCAGTTTATAACCCCATAACCATACATCATTTAAAATTACATCACATACCTCTATTTAAAATACACATTACATACATCTACATCACATACACACCACATATCTCTAATTCATATATACATCACATACATTTACATCACCACATCACATACCTACCCGTAAATCACCACATCACATATATCTACATCAGATACCTCCACATCACCAAGAAACACATCACATACACCTACATCCCCATACCTCTACATCACCACATCATATACTTTACATGATGCACACATCACAGAGTATGCTAGTCAAGCAGTGAATTTCACCCAACTATGGATTCTTAGAAACAAAACAGTAGAGCTTGCGAAGACTACAGGAAACCCCATGCAGCCCCATCTGTCTCCAAGTTTTGAAATGCCAAAGACACCCTGAAACAGTCCATAAATGTGAACTGGAGAGAAGACTAAAAAAAAAAAATTAGACCAGGGCATGTTGTAAGGCAAGGAAGGAAAGATGATAAAAAACAAAATTGCCATTATATCATTCTATTTAACTACAGAAGGTATATTTCAGAGTAACAAATGGACTCCAGAACTTGATGACAGCTAGCAGGATAGAAAGAAGACAAAAGAGACAGCAAAGAGATAAATACATTGATGGCTTAGACCCAGGCATGGGGCGGAACTTGAGCTCCAGCTGTGATTCTGCTAATCGTATAGGATAGCGAGTGATGAGCGCCTATGCTTTTCAATGTGGCACATGATGATGGTATTTCCAAGGAGAATGGGGCAGCGGGTGGTTTTCTTTTTCACTGAAAATGGGGCGGTGGGCCAAACAAGATGGGGAAGCACTGCTCTACATCATATGCATATAAGTACATCACGTACCTCTCCCCACGACATCACATACCCCTACATTATGTACACACCCTCATCATCTCTGCCTCTTCTAGAGTTGAATGTTCCGTGTCTGCTGTGACTTTAATCAACTTTGTGACTAAACTATAATTTCTCCAGACTGAAGAATCTGTGCAGCACCTTGCATCGACACAGGAAAGCTGTGGTTATCACCAGCATTGTAATGAGTCTCAGCATTCTTATCATCGTCATCATTGCTGTTAGTTCCAGGGGTCACACTCAGAGACAGCCCACTGGAGGTGAAGGAAAATGGGAGAACACAGCACAGGGTAAGATTGCTGTATTTTTACACATGAAGTGTATTATTGTTTGGTATGAGATTGTTGGCAGCCTTAGCACCACTAGAAGGCACTTGACAAAACAACAAAAAAGATAACTAGTAGGTATTAAGGTCACTGAGTTGGTAAAGTGGTTAGAGAATTACAACCTCCCTGTAGGCAAATAGTCTGTCTAGAGTATGGGGAAGTGAACAAATGCAGGCTAAACTCAGGCATGCTTTATAATTTATCTAGTCATGAATGACATGAAAATTATAGCTATAAACCCTTTATCAGCATTTGACACAAACAAACAGTGATACAGTTACAAACAAGAATACACAGAATCACTTGTCCATGAATATCAAAATGGATAAGTGAATTTTTGGATTCCTATTTTTAATTGTATCATTGTTTGTTTGTTTCAGATACTGATGAAGGCTTTCTCACCACAGTGTCAGTTTGTGATATGTGGTTGTGAAGCTGACTAGTTATATATCTCATTTGGATTGATATCTTTCCATGCTAAACAATTATAAAGATTCACACTTGATGCCATCCAGTCTTTGAAAGAGCAACAAAGACAATAATTTATTTGTTTCTTTTATGTTGGCTGAATGTTTTGTACATGATGTAAGTGTGTGTGTGTGTATGTCAGTGTGGTTAAAAAAAAGGTGATGAAAGTGTTATATACAAGTATAAATGTGTGTATTTGTCATACTCTTATGTTTGTATTTCTTCTTTTTCACTTACTCTTGTCTTCTACATTTTTGGGTGCTACGGGAGATATAAGGTTTGGCTTCTTAATCTGTTGACTGCCCCAGCTAAAGACACATCCTGATGTAGAGTTTCTCTGATGTTATCTTTCCATTTTGTTTTTGGTCTACCTTGTACTCTGCATCTTTTTCTCTTTTTTTTTTGGGGCGTATGCCTTGTATTGTATGGTATTTGTACTTTATATTCATATTATTAATATTGCTATACGAACCTAACATGCATCATACATAAAATACAGATGTGTGCAAGATCACTAGTTGGAAAGACTGAATGTAAAGTCAACTCTGTGTCCCCAATTTTCGATCCTTTGAAAATAAAGTCTTTATATTTTGTTTCTGTTCATTTTGTTTTTGCTTGACTACTTTCAGGCCTGGTGTTTTATCCTGTACCAGAGGATAAATCTGTTGTAATATCTTTCACACCTGAGGATTTCCAAAAGACTGCACGGCATCCTCTTGTCAAGTCCCTGGATACTGTCACTAAAGGTGAGTTGGGTTTCTAAGTCTACTAATACCTAGTGTGAGAAAATCTGCTAACAGAGTAATGGTATCAGATCACTTTAAGTATTCCTAAAGATAGATTACACAATGATTATCAAAGTTATTTTTAAAAGGACACTTAAAATGTATTAAATTTAATAATCCACACTTCTGCAGTATTTTACATTTAATATATAATTTACCTGTGTGGGTTTCCCGACCCCAGTATGAGGAAAACAAGAATAGACCCACTGTCCCCTCCCCAACGAGTATGTCGTAAAAGTCGGCTAACAAGGGGCTTAGAGTGCATCAGCATGAGAAGAAAGGAACCAGTAGTCTGCTTACAAATGTAAACAAGATGTGCATGCAACACTCAGGTTCTGGATCTAGACTAAAGTCCACAGGTGGAAGAACAACCAGAACTTTCCATGAGACTTTACAGTCGGTAAGCATCAAGCAGAAGAACATAGTGTTTATGCAGTGTTTAAAAAAAAAAAGTAATTGATTGGCATAAATATCAAATATTATGAGGGGAAAAAATAACCTAATTATTCTTATAACTCAGATGGGTTGTATAGGATATTATGGTTTAAATTACTTCTTCTAAAAGATAAAAGATTGATGAGTCCTCTGAAAGTCTTAAATTCAAATCCAGTTCATGAGAAGGCTTCCCAGGCTACAAGTGTCTGCAGTTAGAAGTCTCAGCCAAAAGGTGCAAATACTGTAGTTACCTGTATCCTTCTTTTGACTTACCTTGTTTACTTGTATTAGAATATGCCAAATAAACTGGGACTAGAAAGTTTAAGAGAGAAAAAAAGAATGCATGACTTGTCCGTACATGGTTCCAGTTGAGATACAATCATTATACACAAGTTGATAATTAATACAATCTAGTATCCAAGAAAGGTGGCTGAATACACACACCAGATTTTCTCTCCAAGACTCGCTTCATCGCCTCTCTAGAGAGGAACAGTGTGTTATATTCAGATTAAGGACTGGGCACAACAGATTCCATCAACATATGTTCAAATTTTTCGGTGTAGGAAATACGGAGACGTTTACCTGTAGCGTGGCACCCGAAAATGCTGAGCATGTGCTCCAACACTGTCAGCTGTATGCTGACAACAGAGATGCAATCTGGCCTGTTCCAATCACAATAAAGACAAAACTGTATGGTACACGAGAAGATATGGATTGCACGATAGCTACCGGCCTCCTGATATAAGTTTTCTGACAGAAGGATCGAAGAAGAAGAAGAAGATACACAAGTCATCAGTACATTAAAAAAATATTTATTAACACTATACATTTGGGGGAGAGAGTGGGGGTATAAATGAACGGGAGTAATCATTTAGCACAGATGAAGGAAGGAACTGAATGGATTACATACCCCTGGTTCTAAACAATGCACAGTCGGGTCTGGATAAATAGAAGTCGCGGGGACCTAAGAAAATGCTTCGACTTATCAGGATTTCTACTTACCCAGACAGCACACACAATAGAGACAATTGCCAGGACTAAGCTGGTCATGTCGACTTAACCAGGATTTGACTTGAGTGGACTCGACTGTATTGGATGACTTATACTGTGACCTCAACAGCAAGCGATGTTCTTACTCTTCATAGCACAAAGCCTGGACAGTATTGTGGAGTCCATGTATTACCCATGCAGTCTGATTCGCCTCAATCTGGTTTGTTTATTTTAAAGCCAGAATAACTACAGTACTTTTGGAACAAAGCAAGCTGCTTGATCAGAAGAGTAGTGCTCTCTCTGCCTGTCTGCCTATGGGAGCTTCATTCCTAGACCAGCTGTCAATCCAGGCTTATCAGTGAAGGTCTGCCCTGCCATAACATTAGGTTTCCAGGGTGTATTTCCATCCTAAGATAAGGCTAGTATCCTCCCTAATACACTTCTACAACATAAGTCATTGGCACAGTGTGGGATGTCAGGTTTGATATGGCTGCACCATGATGGAAGTGTCAAGTGTATAATTGAACTTCTCTCGTCAGGGTACAATTCCACAAGTCAGTTAAATGAGTTACATTTCACAACCTGCAACAACAGCTACGCTGATTACAACAAAACCTGCAGAGTTCCCCGAGTGATCTTTGGGGATGAGTGCACTTCACACAGAAACTATGGTTACGGTGGTGCCCAACCATGTGTGTTTCTCCAGCTGAATCTGGTATGTAGATTTATCATGCACATTATTCTCTTAACCCTTTTTGTCCTGGTAACGCTTTAAAGAAACAGGGGTTCGTTGGAAATTTTCCCACCCGAACCTCCCAATCCGGTATTTAAAAAATGTGTCGCATGTCACTAATCAATTTACCCCTCCAAAAAAAACTATTTCAACTACATTATATTTTTTTTCCTCAATATATTCAAAGGGGTACTCTATGAGTTTCCAAGGGAGTGAAGCACTCTCGGGAGCCTAAAATATGTATGGGGTTGCTCTTACTGTGACCTTTTAGGAATATATTCTTGGAGCCTAAAAAATGTATGGGGTTGTTCTTACTGTCACCTTAAGGAATGCTTTCGCTAAGGCTACATGAAAACACTAAGGCTGTTTTAAATGACAGTGACTCTAGAAAGCAGTTTCTCAAGAAAAGCCCCACAATTTTATTTTTAGTAAATATATTCATATCCAGGACTCCTAAACATTGCACAGGCACAAACAGAACTCAGAACTAGGCTTCTTGGAGACAGGCCAAACAGAAATTCCAATTAAGCTGCAAATGGTTTATACAATGGATCAACATCACGCCACATGGGTAGTAACCCATAAGTTAGTTAGTTAGTTGGGTTATCATCATTGCATTTCGGAGATGTCCATTGGTGCTCAGATCCTCCCCTCAGTATGAACGTCAACGTCCAATGGCTAATAGTACCAGTTTTATGTTGATTAACAAGTCTTATGGTGTGTCTGGTGTGCGTCTTGTTTTTTTCTATGCTGATCTTAATTCCCAAGTCTGCCATTCTGGCGAGTGATGTGGATTCACTGCCCCCAAATGCCCCCATGATCCATAGGCTGACCGCCGGTAGTGATAGCGGATCCAGCCAACCTGTCAGCTCTTTCATTTCCATTGACGCCTGCGTATCCCTGAACAAAAATAAAGGTGACTCCACGCACAGTGGACTTCTGTACTGATTCAAGCCATTGTCTTCGCACCGAACCTGTCTGAACCTTCCAGATCATACTCATTGAATCACTAAGTATACATACATAAGTGCTCTGTTCTACTTCTAACTGAAGCCCAAGTTCAAAGAATCTCAGTGCACAAACCGTCGAGGATCCTGAAATACTTTGGATAGATTTTTAACTCCAGTTTTGCACGGGTCGCACTGTTAGGCTACTCTTTCTTTTCAATTTCCAGCTATGAATGGTTTTTTTTTCACGTATGCAACAGTACACACGGGCGTCTTGTCTCACTAGCCAGAGACCAGTGTAAATTACTAGATCTACTTGAAAAAAATCCCAACCTTCACCGGAGCTTGAACCCAGGACCTTCAGCGCTCGAGGCGGATGCCATGCCTCAAGACCACTCAACCTCTCTATAAGCTGCATAAACATAATTGAATGTAAGTAAAGAAAAGACCAAGTTCCATGGCTTTATGTATATTGGGCATATAGGGCTAGATCTATATCTTAAAGACCAATCCACACTTGGTGGGCGATGTGGTCAGCATCACATTGGCCACCTTTACTTCCCATGACACTGTCTGGTATGCATTTAACCCTATCAGACCTGAGGCCCTCAACCTTAACTGTCTCTTTTACTTGGGCTCTTGAGCATTAAAGAGAAAAAACCAACATGATATAGAAAAATTTAGTTACCTGGGCTCCTGAGCATTAAAGAGAAAAAAAACCAACATGATATAGAAAAATTTAGTTACCTGGGCTTCTGAGCATTAAAGAGAAAAAAAAAACCAACATGATATAGAAAATGTTAGTTACATGTAAACAAATGGTTAGAATAAGAACTTGGAGAGGTAGAAAATATGCCTACTTTTCATCTAGCACCAATTTTCCACCTTTGTGTGCCAATCCAACCAGCAGGCTGAGCCTTGTTTCACACATAGATACTTCTTGCAAAGTGGGCACCAGATGTTGCTCTTCACCTTCTTGCATGGATTGTCTTTGTATGACACTCCAGGATTTTGCTTGTTGTACCTGAAGTGCTTTTCCATGCACACAACACATTTAATTAGATGATGTTCCCTGGAGAAACTTTGGAAAACGATTGCCTGTCGTCATCCATGGAGGGCAGGGTTTTGGTTTCTTTTGTGGGTAGCGGTGGGCAGATGTCCTGTATCTGCCAGTAAAGTGCAGGCACAGTTTCTAAATATATCTGGTGAAATAAACTCGCTTTTTTGAAGTCATTTGCTTCATTCTCCTCTTCTAGATCTAGGAATATTCACTTTTCCATCTTCAACGAAATTCATATCTGCATTAGGGAATACAAAATTTCTTGTCAACTTTCGTCACCACCTAGATCTCCCCCATCAGCTGTTTAAGGGACATGCCCCTTTCTCTTACCATCGATCTAGCTCTAAATCTATAAGGTTCATGATTCTTCTCATCACTCGAGCTCTCACTGTCTATGTCACTTGACTTGATGAAATTCTGACTACTTAGAGTCTGAATCAACTAAAGTATCGATCACTTGTTAGACTGCAAAAAGTAAGGTGCTTGGTTCATCAGCCGCTCGTTTCATTGTGAATTTTCAGAATTTGTTCATGTTAAACCACACTAAGTTAATTCAAACACATGGAGGCAGGCATTCAAAATGGCTGATTATGAGGTTTGGCCACAACTGATTGGTTATGTTTAGTTGGTGACTCATTTTTTTCCACATACCTATTAGCAAAGTACCGAAAATTATTTACAGTGGTATAGCGGCGGATTAGGAAATTTACCAAAACATCGGTACGGCGGTCTGGTAGGGTTAAGGCTGCGTCAACATGGGAGCCAATGACATTTTTTGTGTGTGAAAAAGTCCACAGGATTGAGTAACAAATGGAAACGCCTCAGCAAACTTATGCAAAGTCATACTATCCTTTGCTATTGCGCGCAGCCTACTCCATGTCCTCCCTGTCTTCTTAACTCTAGCTCCCGCCTCTGTGTGTTTTTTCAGTCTGCCTTTATTTCTATGCCTCTTTAGGTTCCATTGCAAAGACATACTAGGTATAGTGTTCTCACATTTTCTCAACGTGTGTCTATCCATTGCCAGTGTCTTTTCTTCATCTATTGACGCACCGAAATTATTTCTGTTCTCTCGCAATGCTCAACATTAGTGATTCTATTAATTTCCCTCTATTCTGTGCAGGCACTGTTAATTAATGTTTCAACCACACAGTATCAAAGTGAAGCTGTAACTGCCAAAAACCATAATGCCCTATGTGCCGCCTTAGGCTTAAGAAGAAAGACTAACTAATGCAACAGTACCAGCACCTTTTAATATTTTTTTTAAAGGCATAATTTGTTTTTCCATTGCTAAGAAAGAGGACCTTGCAATACTTACAGTATGACACAGGTCATTGTAGGCTGGCTAAGAATCACAGATTGTTGGTCCTCATTATTCACACTTTGGTCACCCCTGTTCTATAAGAATGATGTGCCATTTTATTAAATTTTTGACCTTTCACAGCCAGATCATGTGACAATAAAACCAATTAAACAAGGAAGTGCCCTATGGAATCAGATTGACCCAGTTCTAAAGAGCTCCCCGCCAGATCCCACCCACATACCTGTCACCTGTAGAGGAACGGTGAGTGTCCAGTATTTTTCTCTGTCATTTCCCTGCTGTGTCTGCAGCGACTTTCACTGATGATTCTATTCTCAAAGTATTTTGTCTCTGATACTCTTCTCTTCCTGTTTGAATTTACTCCAAACATGTTTGGAAAATAGCAGACAAATTATTTCTCTATTTTTTGTGTGTGTGTAGACACTGACAGGCAATATTATCACTGCACATTTGTAGATATCAGTATATTTTATTTATCTAGTTATGTGTGTGCATATGTTTGTTTGTCCTTCCAGTTCCCCTTCTTGGTTCTAGGGCCCCATTGTGGGAAAATAAAGATAGTGTTGACTATCTAGGGCAGGGCCATTCAACTAAGTTTCCTCAGGGGCAGAAATTGGGACCATCGTGGGCCAGAGGCCCCGGCTCCAGCATAGAAAGATCATTACTACAATACAATTGACAAGTGATCCGCAGGCCACTTGTAAGGCTTCTTTGGGCAGATTTGGCATGTGAGCTGCCAGTTGTTTTAAAGCCCTGAAGTCAGAGTGCGTCTCCCTGAGAGGCTAGGAGCCAACAGTCTGCATAAAAATAAGCCAGATCTGTAAAACAGAAGTGGATGCAAAACTCAAGGTAGAGGAGTGGACGAACAACCAGGAGTTTCTGCCAGAAGGTACATCCAGTAAACGTAAAGAAAAGAAGTCCTTCTTGTCACCTCTCTTTTTTCGTTTACATGTAAGCCTACTTCCGGTCCAGTGTGACAGAAAGCTAGTTGGCCGCAGACACTCTGAGAAGGTATTTGTTTAAACACAGCTTGCTGATGCTAATTCTCCATTTCTGGACCAGGAGTCCAAAAGTTCCATCACCCAGCTACTAAGATGAGTACTTGGTGTGACACTGAGCTGTGGATTTCATATTGAATGTTTTAATGTTCCTCAATTGTGCTGCGATGCAGCATTGATGGCTTTGGTAAGTGACTACTTGCATCAACAGCGAGCTGAAATTCTGGCTGTGGACTGTTAGTGTTTGCACATCTGACAGCTACCTTGTGCATTAGCGTGTATGCAAGCATTAAGATTTACCTGGGACATATATTTATCACTAGTTTTTCAGTCAGACAGTGAAGGACGTTTTGCGTGATTTTCACTAGCACAGAAATGTGGAAGTGAAGTTAGAAGTTTGATTTATTCATTTATCTTCTCGCACACGTATTCTTAACAAATTAAAAATAAGGTTTGTATATTCTATATATGTCACCATCTGCACATTTAAAAATCTGTATATGTTAACCTCAGTATCATTAAATATAAATTTTTGATACACATACATTTTTATCAATGTAAATATTTACCCTCATAGACCGATGTGGACAACATGATCATCGAAAGTGCAGAAGGTTATGGTCCTGGAAAAGAAAGGATCATGTACTACCCCAGAGAAGGTTTGCTCTCATACTTGTACCGAGAAAGAAACACCAGCCTCGAGTTCTTGAAGCCTGCAGTCATGGTACAGTTCACTTCGTTGATGTCCAGGCACATGGTCCATATCACCTGTGTAGCCTGGGGCCAGCTGTACACCAGTAACGGCACAATGATTGACCACAAACTGTTGACCACCCAGTTTGCTTTGTATGCAGATCATTCATAACTGATTTGTTTTCTTAAAGAACATAGTGTTTTGAACTTACACAATTTTTTTTAATTTCGTTTTCATAAGTCTGCAGAATTGTTTTGCTACAACCACATTCTGTTACTATCTCTGTCTTCTTCTTCTTCTTCTTCACTGGTCAACATTTGCTGTGCCTCTATTTCAGTAGGGGCCATAAATAGGATGGTGGGCTTGAAATCTTCACCGGTGCACCTTAGTTTATCTTGTAGGATCGCTTTTGTAGGCCAGATTTCATATCTCTGACTGGCAAAGACCTGACACTCCTGAAAGACATGTTCTAAAGTTTGCTTGTGAAGAATTAGCAAGACCCATTCAGTGTTTGTGACTATTTCTGTCTACTACTGACAGTTTTGCCTCAGTCATCAAAATTTACATCTGCTTCAATCTATATTTAGTTCTGCTTTGTTCTACATTAGTTCTGCTCTAGTTTATGGTACTTAATTCTGCAGTTCTATTTGAATGCTGTTTACCTTTCCTTCTTTTGGTTACTTTTTGTTCTTGGAACTGACTACTTATATTCGTGAAATATAACCTAAACTACACTTCCATCTGGTCCTTGGAAACTCTCAGCTTTGTGTACCTTAATACTCAGTTTAGTTCATTTTTAATTACCAATATCGCACTTCTGACATGGCCAGAAGTGCTCCATCTACTTCATAATAAGATTTATTATTGACAACTAACTAGCTGTGCCAGTATTTTATTATATTTTTTATGTTTCTTTTTTCACATTCACCAGCTGTAAACTTCAGTGGAACATGCTTGTTTTCTTTCACTTTTGAACATTCTTGTTCTATACTTGATTTTGTGCATACTGTTGGTTCCTCACCTCTCTGGCAGGTGCACTCTGACTTTGAAACATCGATCCTATCTACATTGGCTAGAGTTACAGACCTGTTTCTAGGATGACCTCGGTGAGGTGTAGTAAGGCTTAACCATTATGAGCCGTGGTCTTGTTGCACCAGCACATGTGGGTCAGAACCTTTGCATCTTGACAGCTTCTCTTGTTGCACTTGGTGTGCTTGTTTCTGTGTGGTCTTATTGTTAATCTGACATGTGCATTGTAACTGTTGATGTTGATACATTCCATAACCTTATCACCTAGGGAACACTAAAAAACATGGGCCATGAACCCCTTAAATCCCCCCCCCCCCCCCCCCCCCCAATCCTTTAAAACACAAATATTGTATAGAAGCTAGTAATAACTTTTTTTAAAATCTTCTTTTTTGCTTCAGTTTCGTATGCTTAGGTCAGCACTTCAGGTAGGCTGTAAAGGGGGTTAAGGGAGTAATCAGTAAACATTAACAGAGTGAAACATTAAATAGAAAACATTCCCCAGGGCCCTAAAAAATATGTTTATTAGGTGACTCGTGCCCTGACCTCTATCACTGAGACTGAAAAAAAATTTGACCTTAGCATGGTCTTTTAAAAAATGAAGAAAAAATGTAGCTTCACAAGAAAACTCCCCTAAATGCTATTTGTAGTAAATATATTAATATCCTGACCTCCTACATGATGTGCAGATGCAAGCATGACTGATTGTATTAACTGTGTGTCGTAACTACACCACTGAAGAAAAGTCAGTTAAGTGACATTCGTGGATCATTGAACCCAACCGGGTTAAGAGTCCTGATTTTATCTCTGATCATTGGTTTGCAGTCCAGCCAACATATCTGCTCTTTCAATACCCTCAACACTGTATGTTGGGATATGAAGACAAACTTTACAATGATTCAGATCAATGCCTTCATATGATACCTGCTTTACATTTTTTTGTCATGCTCAATGTAGTAATTGGTGTGCAAGAATGACTGCACTCAAGCTAAGGTCAAGCCATTATTATCTTGAACCTCTGTTCCTTCAAACCTTAATCCACTGTCCTTATTTCTTCTTCCTACATAGAATTTTTTGTTGTTCTAACTTGGTTGTTCTTAGCGTGCACTTTTTTTTTTTCTCTTAACTTACATATTTTCTTCATTAATTTGTTGCAGTGAGATCAAAAACTTGAGAACAAAATATCTGTAAAAATAAATCTACTTAAACGTTTATGCCAGATTTTGTCAGCAAGGCAAGCTAATGTTTTGTTTATATGTTGTGTAAATAGAGCTATGCATTAAATAACACCAGTGATATGTTCTGTAAAATAGGATGTCATAATTACATATACAAACACCATAGCATGTACAGTATTATAGATTTTGTTTCTACTACAGTAAGTAATGACACTTTTAGTGCCATTAGCACACTGGGTATATGATGCTAGACCCAAATGTTATAAATCCATCGTTACTTGATGGGTGATGTGGTCAGTGTCACGCCAGGCACCTTTACTTTCCAGACATTACCTAGTATCTATTTGAGGCTGGTTACACCCTAGAGCCAAGGTCAATTTTGTAAATCACATCTGCTCTGCAGGTGTCGGCCCAAAACCTTTAGGTTTACAGATAAACATATCTCCATAACTGTTCTTTCAGTACCAGCGGTAAATTAATTAGATGTAAATCGATGCTTGATGTGTTTCTTAGTACTGAAAGAGGTCATGTGTAATCAGACCATGAGATTGTTGGCATTTTGATTACGTTAAGACTTTTTTGTTCTAATAAATATTTCAGAATTTGTTATGGTTAATTTTGCATTCCATATGTTTGAAAATTAGAATCATGAAATGTTGTATTTTCTTGACCCTACTGTATGGTGCGGACACCTGGACAGTGTGCAAGCAGTTAAAAAGTTGGACTGGAGATACAGAAGAAAGGTTTATCTCATGGAAACTACTTATTTTTTGCATTCACTGGCAGAAGGTTCTTGTTGTTTGTCCACTTCTGGACTCTAGTCCTGTTTCAGAATCTGAGTGTTGCATGCACATCCATTTTACAGATCTAATTTGTATGCAGACTGTTGGTTCCTTGCCTCTCAGGCAGATGCACTCTTGACTTCAAAGGAAGCTCCCAATTAGTCAACTCTTACAACATGCTTTTGGGCAGGCAGTGGGATTGCTCTTGTTTTCCCCCACAGCGGGGCATCGGAACCCACATGGAGAACCTCATGGAAACATAGGCAATAAATACAGAGGTAAAGATGAGACTAAGGATATGAGTTGCACGGGGAAAAAAGAGAGACACCAGTGAAATATTTTGGCCGGAGCGGTTGACTGAATGTTAGAAGCCTCTGGGTTTTTCCCCTCAAGAGCGAAATAAAAATCCAAATCTACACAGTTGGTGCTGACTACACTAGCCATGCAGCCCTAAATCCTCAGGAGCATAGGTCCAACATCCTACACTTAAATACAGGCAGTAATGGTAGTGTTTGACAGACATATTTCTGGAACATTCAGAAGACATAGCATTGTTATAAAAAACAACACTGAAGGAACATGCTAAAGGCTTGTGAGCATTAGGTTTGTCAGTGATACAAGTGGGAGGATAACTTCAAGAGATGGATGAAAGAGTGTACATCTATGGAAGGAGACTGTGCTAGAGATCTGTTGCAGCCGAGCTTCATTGTGGAGCTGGCACCTGATTGATTATTCCTTTTAAAGCATCTGAAATTCCTCTATATTTTTTTCTTCTTATAGTCCATGCCGTGTGGCATAGGTAGTCATGTCTATCCACAGCCTTTTGTCTCATGTACGTTTAGTCAGCTCCAACACAGATGATCTTCCTTGTCATGTCAAAGTGTCCAGCATCTTCTGTCTCAGTCTTCCCCTGCCTCCCCCCCCACCCTTCCAGCTTCAACCACTATGATATACTCCAGTTTTATCCTTCTCCTGACATGACCAGAGAATGTAGATTGTCTTCTACAGATGTGGGCAATCGGTTCTTTTTGTGAATCAGTTTCTTTCAAGACATTTTAGATTGTCTCCTTCAGATGTGGACAGTTGGTTTATTTTGTGAATAGTTTCTTTCAAGACATTTTAGATTGTCTCCTTCAGGTGTGGGCAATCGGTTCTTTTTTGTAAATCAGTTTCTTTCAAGACATTTTAGATTGTCTCCTTCAGGTGTGGGCAATCGGTTCTTTTTTGTAAATCAGTTTCTTTCAAGACCACCTTAATTTCTCCATAGGATTCTCATAATTTGTCTAAAGAACCACATTTGCACATAATTTTTGACTTATTCACATATAGGATTTATATAGCTCTTGAGAATTCTTTTTCTCACCTCCAATGTCAAAGAAAGATGGCATAGAGTATTCTTCAGTGTGTGAAATGTTGTCTTTGCTTAAGCTGTTCTACATTTAATGTTTTTTTTAATACATCTGCTGCTATCATGTTACCCAAGTACTTAAACATATTAACTTGCTTGAGGATTATTCTATTTACTTTGATACTGCGTTTTGGAAGGTCCATTTTCTTTGTAATTATCCTCCATTATCCATTAGTAAGCCATTCTAGCATACATTACTTTCTTAAGTTTTATTCGTCGTTCCAGTTTTTCCGAAGTGAAAAAGTAAAGCTAATTTGACTTAGATGTTTATAGACCAGTTGGCGATGGATGAATGATGTGGTCAACATCAGACTATCATTGTTTCTTTCCAGAACATTATGTTATGCTTATTTTAGTCTGGATTAACTGGGAGCAGTCAGTTTGGAGGGGGGAAAACCCATCTAACTTGATACAGATTCGAGCCCAAGATCTTCAGGCCAACAGGTGAGCGTTTTGCCATTGTGTTACCACAGTTCCCTTTTCCAAAGTGCTCTGTTTTAATTGTGTTATTCCAATATGAAAGGGAAACCATGATCACACAAAAATAAAACTGCTAATCTGTTGACAAGACTGAGGACAGTTACATACTGTTTGTGTCCTTTAAAATGCTGTAGTGTATTTTTCTTCTGCATTTATTGTGCATTCTAGTGGCGTATAGGCTTTCAACCAACTCACACCAAGCTTTCTCTTGATTTAAGGTCTAACAGCATTGCACTGTGGATTTTCCCATAAGTGCTTCATTCTCATCTTCAGCAACCAACTCAGCCTTTCAGTTCT